CGATTACAAGAACACCGTGTGTACGATGATAAAATGAAACACAGTAACAGTAAATTAATTTCCTACGAAACAAATTATACGAAAGAGAAAATGACAATGCTCCTATCCAGAAAGCAAAATCATGATCTATTTAATCTAATACAGAAAGGAAGAGAAAGGGGAGAGGGAAGAAGAAGAAGAAGAAGAAGAAGAAGAAGAAGAAGAAGAAGAAGAAGAAGAAGAAGAAGAAGAAGAAGAAGAAGAAGAAGAAGAAGAAGAAGAAGAAGGAAGAGAAGGAAGAGGAGGAAGAGGAGGAAGAGAAAGAAGAGGAGGAAGAGGAGGAAGAGGAGGAAGAGGAGGAAGAGGAGGAAGAGGAGGAAGAGGAGGAAGAGGAGGAAGAGGAGGAAGAGGAGGAAGAGGAGGAAGAGGAGAAAGAGGAGGAGAAAGAGGAATAGGAGTAGGGGTAGGAGAAGAATAAGAATAAGAATAAGAATAAGAATAAGAATAAGAACAAGAACAAGAACAAGAACAAGAACAAGAAGAACAAGAAAAAAAGAAAAAGAAAAACAACAACAACCACAACCACAACCACTACTCACGGGGCGTCGACGGGGTGGCCTTCTTCCTTGACTTGTGGCCCGGGGTGGGGACGCGCGGCTGGGCGAAGTTCTCCTTGTCGTCGTCGCCCACCGAGGGAGGCCGGCGCTTCTTGGGCGACACGAGGGGCGTCAGTTCGAGTTCGGGGTTGGTGGTTTTGCCTGTTGGGGGGAGGGGGGAAGAGAAGAGAATGGCTATGAGGGCGACGGCAGGAAGTTGCGTTCGTGGGCGGTATTGGCTAAGCTGTTATATGATCTGTTTGTTTAGTGATGTTCTCGTCATGTAAACTGTATTAAATGTGCCGTTCTAGTTAATATGTGGAGCTGTAATCTACTGCAAATTGCTAACCTATCTGAACTTGGAAAGCATTTGTTTACTGTTAACCAACATACTTCCTGAATTAACAACAAAACAATGATTTAAGGTATGCATCATCATCAGCTTCAATGCATGAAATGAGTTTGCTAAAAAAAATAATAAAAAATAAATAAATAAATAAATAAATTACTGTACCTACTGATGTAACTGAGCCATACCACCTAATTTACTGCATTGAGACAACCTACCAACGACTTTATCCACGAGCTGATCAATGGGCGTGACTTTGCAGATGGACAAGAGATCGATGTCATCTAGGCCTCCTTCCAGGGACGTGTGGAGGCCGCGGGGGGAATTACCGAGGCTGTTGGGCATCCCACAGGGCACGTCTACTGGCTTCTCTTTGTTCAGCTGTTCCATCAGGCACCGCGCGGGGGTTCTCTGCGACTGGAATAAAGTGTCGTGGAATCCCGTGAGAAAGGATAATGGGGGGGGGGGGGGAACACTCGCATGCATGTTGCAAAGATCGGGAATACTTACATAATCAATAAATCAGATATGTAAACGCACGGTGTCATATACCCACTCCTCACCCCTAAAAGCCACACAAACACTTAGAGAAAAAGGTAAAAGGAAAAAAAACAAAACAAGAATAACAGACAGCCACTCTCCAACTCACAGGGATCTCCCCAAGAGGCGTGACTTTCTGGATCAGGCGGATGGGTTTGCCCTTCATCTTCTGCGTCACCAGGAGGAAGTAGGTGGCTGTGAGGTAGTCGTAGGACCACCGACAAACAGCCTGCCTCACAGCCACTCGCGATTTCCCCTGGTGGACGGCGATTTCGGTGATCACGTCCTCGTCCACGCCACAAGTCTGTTGGGGTTAAGGGAAGGTGAGACGTGAGAGTCAGCTGTGCCTTCATGAGTCTACTCTACTTTATATCTCAGGTGATAACTGTCTACATTAGATATAGATGAATAAAGGTATTGAATTCAACTGTATTACTTTAGCAACCTTAATAATTTACGAAAGAGGTAAAACAAAGTAACAGAGCTTTATAACTAAATACTACCATGCTTTATAAAGACAAAATCATACCAGAAATCTTTTTTTTTTATATACACAGTAAATTACTTTCAACATCAACACGAGAGCTACAGACCTACTAAAAAAACATCTGATACAACTGAAAGAAAGGAGACTATGAGGTAAAACACAGGTACTAGCATCATTAAAAAAATAATAATTATATAAAGAAATAAACATCACACTATAAAGCCACACAACTACTGCAATAAGAATATCAGAAAATGTTAGATGAACCAGAGCTTAATGTACAATATGCATCACATTACTGAAATAAAGTACAAAAAGATACAAAGATACACTACACAGCATTAGTAAAGTAATGGCATAACAGTCAATTAAGGAATGTGTTCACTCAAATGGAACAAGAACATATTTCCCAACACCGAAAAGTCTTCTAGTTAAGCCTTCTAGTGTGCAGAATTTGGAAAGATTAAAATAACAACCAGTTCCATCACCTTATACTGGGAGGGAGTGGGGGATGCAAAAGAGGAGACGAGAGAGAGAGAGAGAGAGAGA